GAGTAATCTACACACATTCTCCAGGTGGATCCCTTTGGTGCTAAGAAATTACAGATAGTCCGGGTGTAAATATTGTTGGGAAAATGATTTACAAATTAATATTTGAAACTAAAAATGTAACGGTTGACAACTCATTTTTTGTGGATCAAGCTCTAGCAAATTGTACTCGTTGAAGTAAACGGTCCCATACACTACGTATTAAATTGTGGAAAACCATTTGAAAATGAATGAAAAATTATCTCCTAAAATTAATTTCGTATAGAAACAAAAATGAGTGCTTCTATATATGTCAACTATTGCTACTCAATTGGGCATCTAAGGGTTGTTAGAGTATTTGTCCAACATCGGAAAACTATAAAACAATAACATTATATAAGGCTTCGATCTACTTCTCCTATCATGTTGACCTTTTATGATGGAATTCCGGGTCTTAACATGGTATCAGAGCCAATTTCGATTGTGGTTTGACTGGTTGATTAGCACTCATGATTACGAGTAGCTTGTTAAGTGTCTGTTTGGCCCATTTATACACCCGATATTGTCCAGCTCAGTTCAGGTTGAGGAGACGTGTTAAAGTATTTGTCCCACATCGGAAAGCTATAAAACAATAAAACATTATATAAGACTTCGATATACTTCTTCTATCAGGTTGACTTTTTATGATGAAACTCCATATCTTAACGAGGACAAGTCAGGTTGAGTTTCGAAAAATAATGATCCCTTAAGATAATAAGTACGGAATACGAAGTATATTTTTGAATGTTCAAATTTGGATAAGCCTTTTTAAGAAGGGTGATCGCTTTTCTCTAATAGATGTCTTTTAAAATGGGATAGATGTCTTTTTAACAGCTGTTTGAATAACAAGTCCGAAAATACAAAAATTGATCTCTCTTCTTCCTCGTTACAACTTCATCAGTTAGTGCCTGCTTGCATGGCTTAAAATAATACTCCATAATAAATACTTCCTCCATTCTTTAATTGTTGTAAAATTGTGATTTTTGTACTACTCACAAATCTTACTTTAATCACAATTTATACTAATATATGAAGTATAATCAAATTATTATGTATAAAATGTTATTAAATTTTTATTAATGAGAATTTCCAAAAAAATGAACTTTTTATAATGTTTGCAGTTTTACTAATACATAATTAAATATATTAATAGTCAAAGTTGTACGTTGACAAACATGAAAGTAAGATTATTGTAACTATTAAAGAACGGGGATAATATATTTTTTGAATAGTCCAATTTGGATAAACCTTTTTAAGAAGGATAGTCACGTACTTTTCTCTAATACTACCTTGTCACATTTTAGTTAGTTATTTTTGACTTTTTTCTGTCAAAAATTGTAAATTTTGACCAATTATTTTAGTTCATACTTGGTATGTTTATGCGTAACTTAATAATTTTATACTCCGTACGTAATAGTATTTTTAACAAACAACATTTTCATATTAACAATATTTATGTATCTAAATATATAATCGATCAAAGTTAGACAACATTAACTTGAAAAGTCAAGCTTGACTAACTAAAATGAGACTCGGGGAGTAAGCGTCTTCTGGGATAGCGGTTAGAAGAAAAAGTCTGAAATCATAACATCTTTTCTCTCTCTTCTTCCTCATCACAACCTCATTTCTTAGTGCATAGTTTGGTTAGTCGGAGTCTTTCAAGAACAAGAGCCGTTCTATTTCGCGAGACAATTGATGCGCAGACAAATTTATCTTAAGGAGACAACAAGCATTCGTTAGACTCGGTTTCATCATCTAATAATCTAATATGTACTATATACGTACCCTTCATATTATTTTCGTTTATTATTACTCCCTTCGTCCAGTTAAAATTGACTCGTCTTTACTTTTTGGACCGTTCCATAAAGGTTGCCCAATATCAACACCGGTAAAATTTATGTAGTTCTGAATCATTATTATTACTTTATTCTTTGGTGATCAATGAATCAATCCAATTCCAACCACAAAAATTTAATTTTCTTAAGAATCACATAAAACATATTTTAGAATTGAATTTCCAAATATGCAAACAACATTTCCAAACCTACCCAGTCTTCAACGTACTCTAGGCCGGAATGTGCTAGACTAGTAAGAACTAGCTGGAAGTAAATTTTAAAATAAAAAACACATGCGATTTTGACTAGACACGATAAATGAATTAGAACAATAAATTGGACAGTTGTGCGGAACTTAGCTTCATGGACTTGATGCATGTTGTATCCTTTATGTGGGGGAATCCATCGTATCCCCACACTCTTACCCCATGCATGCACTGACTTCAGAGTTTTCACGTGAAAGCACCAAACACAAAATCAGTCCACACACAGCCATATATATATATACTCCATCCGTCCCGTTTGAAATGTTTCCGCTTTGCTTTTTTAGATGTCCCTTTGGAAAGTTCTCATTTCCTTAAATGAAAAGTTATCCTACATCAAAACAGGATCAAACAGTGTAAAACAGTGTCAAACAGTGTCGAAACAGTGTCAAAGCAATAAAATTTACCCCTGGTAAGCTTATTTCCTTAATATGTGTGTAAGTCAAACCGGGAACATTCCAACGGGACGGAGGGAGTATATACCAGAAATTGCAAAACATTTATCATCCTTTACCTTTTTCTCTCAATTCGTGTCGTCACAAAAATGGTACAAACATGCATCCCAATCAAAACCAGGGGTTGAACTTGTAATATAGTTTTGTCACACACACACAAACTTCACAAATAGTCAATCACATTAGGATTATTGCTCAAATAGTCTTGGTTTATGTTACAAATATACAAGTATGTGTAGTGTGTACAAAGAAGATCAATTCGTATTATTTATGTGTAAAGATGTACATAATTATAGGTAAAAAATAATTAGGTTGTTTTAAATCTTTTAAGAGTGGATCACAAATTGGAAGTCATTGTAAGCTAATGATGTATTTACTGGGACCAAATTATTAATGACGTATTTAAAAAACTAGACTTAAACTGACCAAATTTTGACAGTTGTAAAACACACATATAGACCATACATCCACTAGACCAAATCAGACCAGATCACCAGATCAAACATAAACAGATCGAAATAAGACCATATTTTGTTTAGGACAAACAAGACACCAAAATATTGTGAAGTATCTAAAATACCCTAAAACTTTATAATTAATCCTCTGTCACTGCTTCTTCACATAGACTTGGAGCGCCCATCCCTTTCTTCTTCGCGTCGATGGAGCAGAGCATGCCCATTTGAAGTTTTCAGCGAGAACCTTCAGTGGCCATCGATTTTCAATGCCGCAACATGACGGACGAGGTACGGCGAGTGACAATGACATGCTACAGACAGTGACAAGCCACCTCAAAATTGGATTTTGAATCGTCTTCTTCACCTGCGTCTTCTTCTTCTTCTTCTTCTTTGATTTTGAATCGTCTTCTTAACTTTTCAAATCTGTGGCCGCGACATATAGGCTTACATGTAGTTGTTGGTAGTGCAGGGCGCACACAAGTGGATGTTGGTGGGACTACATTCACACATTGATGGGGTTGGTGGGGTAGGGACGGGTCAGATGGGGAAGGGCTGAGCAAGGGCGATGGCTGTCAGGGCGGTTTCAGTGGCCGATGTTGGGGCTAGGGGATTGAGAGATAGTGAGATAGGGTGGGGGCTGGGAGTTGGGTAGGGGGAGGGCTAGTGAGGTCGTGGGGGGGGGGGGGGGGCAATTAGTGTCAAAGCAGGGCGACAACCATTGGCGATGAGTGGTGGTCACTGGCCGGTTGTAGTCACTGTGGGGTCGTGTAATGGTCATTAGGACGAGCGGTGGTCATTACCCGGCAATCGACAACAGATCTTGATCGTTGGCCGACCGTGGTCACTGGTCACTGTCGGGTGGGGTATCTGACTATTAGTTTATGAGTTTTTATTTTGGTCACTGGCGGTGACAAGTCACTCGTGGTCTCGTGGAAGGGTAACGATCACTAACAGTGGGATAACTGTAACTGTTAACGGCAAGTTACTGAGGCCTTTGGTCACTGGGATGTTTGGTCATGGTCACTGTATACTAGTCAATGTGGTTAAAGACATAAAAGACACTTTAATCTCTTTTTTTGAAATTCCTTGAAAGTGGTTTTATTTTTTCCATGACATTTGTTTTAATACTTCCTATTAGTTTTGGACAAACCCGTAAATGCCAAAATAATAAACAAGTTTAACCAAACTGATAGTCCTAACTGTGCAAATTATAACACCCCTTCAATTTATGCAAGAGGAACTATGTGTAGATTGTCTCTGAGAAATAAAAACCTCCGAAGTGCTAAGTTCATAGACTTCAGGATTATGGGAGCGTAAGCTCCGACACCTGAGTTAAAAAAAGGAGAAAGTACAATCTTGATGGAGAGTATAAGGACATTGACCCAACTATCGAACATGCACAAAGTCGCTTCAAAATCACTAAAGTCCTTATATGTGTCTCTTCCCGGGCCTTCACTTATGTATGCAGAGAGCAAGATGAAATCAGACATAAATATATGTCAGCTTAAGAACTTATAAAGGCCAAGAGTGTTAAGGTGCATAGATGGCCTTCTCTGTATAGATTTCGCCCTCAAGCTTTTTATTTCTGTATTCAACCATCTGAGTAAATTGATAAAATAAGAATACATGACAACACATTTGTGTGCCAAATATATGTTAGACGTTTTTAGTTGGACTTATTTCAGTTTCAAATCAAATCAATTCCAACAAACTTCTGCATTCGTAAATTACATAGAGACCGAACATCTATCATACCAAACTAGATCAGAAAATTTCAGTACTAGTAAAAACATAGTTACAGCTTGGCAATTGGCATGCTAAAGCTCATACGGAGTACATCATCATAGTAATATCACTATGAAGATTTTATGGTACTGGTAGAGTGTAAAATGATGGATGAATTTAGAAAAACATTGATATTGGTTGAGACTTGAAAAACTGAAATCGAAATTCAGAAAACACAATTAATAAACATGTATTCATTCTATTTTCTCAATTCTTTTACAAAATATAAAACTTTTTAAATAGTTCCTATAATTCGATATTTCGAAACAAAGAAAATATTACACATTGAATAAAGGTTTCACAAGTGCACACACACATCTGATAGCCCCTGCTGTTTACCACTTTACCTCTCATCTATGATTAAAAAAATGAAAAATGGCACTTCATTTAAAAGATTTAATCAACAAAAAAACGGGTCCCGGGTCGGGGTGTGAGTTCTGACTCAGTGAGTCACGGCAGCGAACATCCGGTCCGTAAGAACCCGAGTTGGGATCGGTCGTTGTCGAACTCGAACAAAAACCCTTGCTGCATCAAGTTTCCGATGACGGAAAACGACGACGAAGAGGTGACCGGTTGCAATGCGAGGCATTTCACGTCCGGGGCCGTATCTATAAAGTAGTTTCCGGCAGGCGGCGCAAAGGCTGAGCCGCCGGCGAATTTAAAACTCAGACTAGGTACATACGGCTTTGAATCCCTCGACACGTTTATACACAAATCAAACCCGGAAGTCAGATCGACCGGCTCGGGCGGCTCCATGCGCCGCTTGAACTCTTTTACTATCAAGTCGTAAGCCGGCTGGGCCAGAAATGTCAAGGTAGTCCCTGAATCGATGATTGTTCCGCCGTTCCCCTGCTCATCAGCGATCCAAACCGAAGGACTGATCGGTAATTTGACATTCTCTATAAACACGCTCTCAATCCCGACGTAGTAAAAAGTCGATGAGAGTGAGTTGTTAATCAGCGGCGTGAAGCTCTTCTTCGAGCCGTTGACCGCCTCGGCTTCGCCGTCGCCGATCACTAAGTAGCTCCTCGGAGTCGGGGCGAGCGTGTAGTCCATCAGGCAGTAAGAGAATTTGTTGCCGAACCGGCGGCCCAATTGCGTGGCCAGCGAGATCGGTCCGCGGCCCAGACCCAGCACGCCCTGAGCGCCGTTGAAGCTCGGGCCGGTAATGCTGGGCCCGGAAGATCGGAAACTGCATCCGAACTCAACATTCGAGAACCGGACGGCCACGCCGGAGCTGGAATTGAAAGCCGTCGTCTCTCTGGCTAAGAACCCCCCGGTCACCGATCCGTCGGCGTAGGAGTACTCATAACGGCATGGACTGTGCAGGCGCGTGCGGTTGCAGGCGACGCGCCTAGGGCGCGGGACGAAGTCGCACTTCGAATCGTAGCAGTGCAAGGGCGAGAAGGAGGCAGAGTGGCGAGCGAGGAACGCGGAATGCGGGAGGCGCGTGGAGCAGTTTTGGCAGGCAGAGCACGTGACCCAGACGAGGTCGCTGCCGGTGTCCGCCACGAGGAAGAGGCGCTGCGGCGGAGTGCCGAGGTGGAACTCGACGAAGTACTGGCCGGAGCCGGAAGAAGCGCCGGAGACGAGGGGTAGCTTTGCGCGGCGGCAATTGAGGGAAATGAGGCGGGAGGTGTCGGAGGAGAGGGCGTGAGAAGGGGTGGGAGGGAAGGGGTGGTTACGGTGGAGTGGGAGCTTGAGATAGGGAAGGGTAGATTTTCCGGTGGGAATAGGAGCGGCTGAGGAAAAGGAGAGGAGGAGCGGGAGTAAAAGCGGCAATAAATGTGCTCCCCCCATTGGTGATGGGTGGTGGCAGAAGGAGTTAATGGAGGGAGAAGAGATGGAAGGAAAGGTGTCGAGAGCAGAGAATTTGGTACATTTATACGTTTTTGTACTTTTCCAATAGGGGAAAATTACAATTCAACTCTAGATTTCAAGCGCTATCGGTCTAGATCGTAAAATAATACCCGTACTCTACTTCACTTAAATCAATGCCTACATTAAGTAGGGAAGTGTTAGTGATACTATCACTGTATCACACCTTGGCACGCTAATATGCAAATATCTCACCATACTCCTTATTAACTTTGTCATAAAAATTATGTATGTATGTATGTATGTATGTATGATTAATGAGATATCCCAAAAAGGAAAATTGACAAAGTTATAAGAGACAAAGGAGTATGTTACTCCATATTCGGTATATCCTAAAAAGGTTGGTCATATTGATTTTTATTGAACTCTACAAAAGTTTTACAATGGTATTATTTATTATATTTATGTATAATTTATAAATTTATATTTTTATGAAAAATATTTTTAGTAAAAAATATTTTAACATAAATGTCATACTTTAAGTAAATTCATATTAAAAAATATCATTCGTCAAAATTGAGCGTCATTGACTAAGAACAACCAGTATGACCAATCTTCTTATGATGGAGAGAGTAATTTTTTTTAATTAAATTGAACAATTTTAAATCATTTTATATTTATCACACGAATAAAAGAAACCGTAGATAAGAAATCATAGGTAAGAAACCATAAATCAATACATATTTTAATGCAGTACAACATATTAGTGATGTTCTGTACTATCTGAGTACTCATTTTAAAATAAGTGTAACATGTTGAATTTTATACTATTCATATGTTTTACTTTAACTACGCTAATTATGATTATATTAAAAAATATTATTTAAAATATATTATAAAACTCATCTATTGTTTTATATAGTAAAACAGAATTAGGAAATGTTGATATATCACTCTTGATTTCCAAAATTAATTATCAACTTCACTTTTACAATCATTACTTAATTCCTTAAATGATACAAATGTTTATGTAATATGAGAATAATCCATACTATTGTGCTCTAACAATTAATTAGTTGGTAACATAAACATAATGTGATTGTATTTAATATAACTAGTGTGCTATTGAAAGTCCATATGTATCCAACAATCAAATATAATAAATAAGAATAGAGAAGATTAAAACTTAGATTTCAATGCCCACAAAGACATGTCGATGAATGAACAAGGGAAATGAAACCAAGCAGCTTTAACTTCTCTCTAGAATGTATGGATGAAAATGAAGGTTAGACAAAGATTCTGATCGATTCAATCAGGCTGGGATACATACGCATATGCGTTGATATCCTAGTACAGTGCAAGAGATTGTGAGCCGACCCATAGGAAAGAGAATACCACTTTCCTACTATTAATAAAATAAATACATGATAAATACTAAATGGGCTAAATAAATACCAGGCCCAATAACTAAGTTAAATACACAAATACAAGGATAACTAATGCAACTGGACACAATAGAATGATTCTTAACAATCTTTCCCTTTGTGTCAATTTGCATTGTAGCACGGTTTATCTTTGTCTGTGTGTTGACAAACTCCCTCTTTATGTTTAAAAACCAGAGATGCTCAAATCATATTGTCTTTCGTGATTCCTAACGATCTCCTCCTTTTGTATGCAACTGTCTTCTATGCTCATTTGTCTTTGTTGGGGATTCTGATTAATGTGTTTGAGCATGAACAATTTCCCATTTTATGGCAGAGTATAGCAGCAGCCCCCCCCCCCCCCCCCTATTCCTTGATCAACATGTATGAAGTCCGATGTCGTCTCCAGAATGAATCTTCTGATGGAATCCAAATAAGCACGGGCTTCATCTTTAGTTTCAGGATTGTCCGAACCAAGTCTCCTCCAAAATGTAGTCTCTTTGACTATTTAGATTGTAAAGGATCTTGAGGAGTACTTGTCGATGGCACAACGGAATTATTAGATGGACTTGTGGTGTATGTTGACCAATTGTGTGGAGCTGATTTGGTAGGACGTGCAGCATGTGGAAACGTATTTATTCAAGCCCCAATTCAAATATGATGAATTGAAGCTCAAACTCTTTGAGATGTTTTTGGAGGGGGCATTGAACTATTCTAGTAAATTTAAGAATGATTTAGAGAGCAAAGCAGACATGGTAGAGCGATGGAGACTTCTCATTTCTTTGTGTTTGGCTCCGCTTCTAACGTGTTGCTTATATCGTCGATTCATTCAGCTTCCCGCATGATGGTTTCCATGGGAAGGAAGACTCTGCCAACTTAATGATGTAATCAAGAAATATCAAGTGTTGGTGTGGAGGAAGTTGTCTGTTAATGATGATGGAGTGATATGTCCGATAATGATGAGTTGATTTTCAATGCACATGGACCATTCTCCCCCTCATGATGATACGATTCATCGGCACGTCATGTTTATTATGCTAAAAAACAAAAGTAAAAACAAACAAACAAACAAAATGCAAAAACAAACGGGAGACACCTTAGTGTTCCGTTGACACATCATCCATGAAAAATACTGATGTGTGGCCTGCAGATAATGATGATAGCGTTATAGCTTTGATAAGACTTCCAACCAATCTTAATGAAGCATCTATAATAGATATCACCTTAGTGTTCCGTTAACACATTATCAGTGAAAAATACTAATGTGTGGCCTGCAGATAATGATGATAACGTTATAGCTTTGACAAGACTTCCAACCATCTTAATGAACATCTATAATAGATATCACTCTGGTCATTATTTGCATGATCATAGGGATCAACATAGACAAAAATGGCCCCGAGGTCACGTAGACTATCCGTTATCATCACCCCTAGAGATAAACTACAGAGGATGGTCTGAACACATTGGTGATAGAAATGTTGCAACTCCATAACTTTCTTTCAATCCTCGGACTACATCTATGATAGATAGGCCTATAGAATTTCTCGCACGGTCATGAAGACCACCAATTGACTATAAATGTGTCTTTATCCTAGAATATTCAAAACATTTGGGAGTGGAGTTACTAGGCACGACATGAGCAATGAAAGTCCAGTGGTGTGGGGCTGTGGACCACTGTAGTTAGTATCACCCGGCTCAGAAGGAGACAGTGATCTATGATGTGGTTCTCATTGAAGTGTATTTAATCACCTGTTTGTTAGGAGACAAATGAGTGGTCTATGGTAGAGTGGTACATGCACCGTTGGACAGATGCAACAACTTTTACTTGAGATCTGATCAAATCAGTCCTGTACCTATGGGGGTTGTCCGAGGAATTTGAGTGACTGTTGGTGATTTCTCTTAGTTAATAACATAGTTGAGGATGCAGAGTCGTCATATATTAATGTTTTTCTCGCTCACTTGAGCCTTTTGCTTCCTCACTTTCACAAAGTTCACTCGTGTTTGGATTTGTCCCGTGGGTAGGCTCAGTTGGGTTTTACTGAGCCATTGGGACTTGTTTTCTCGCTTGATAGACGTTTCAAATGTATGGCTTAATAAATCTTGAGGGGATATATCATACAAACATCATCACAAACGTGAAAGGTAGAAATTTCAAATCTCTTCTGTTGAGATTTCCCATCATTCACATCACAATGATGGTGAGAAGTTGTAGATGAAGAATGGAGCTTCATGGGTGCTTTAAAGCTTTCTTTCACTTCTTCGGAAGCTGTCTGTCACTTCTCCGGCAGGTTTCTTTGCTCCTCTGTTCGCCGGTCACCGGAAAGCTTGGGGACGCCGGAACCAAGTGGGGTGAATGGAGGGGGTGGGGGTGGGTGGGTTTAGGATGACAAACAGGTGGTCAGCGTATGGGTGTACAGGCTGTCACTTCATTGGTTTGAATTTTGAATCTACCGCCTTGATGGCTGCGGGACAAATCGCTTAGGCTGTCTGGGATGAGTGGTTGGGCCTGACCCGGCTGTTGTGGCAAACCCTAGGCCCGATGTGGACTGTTGCTGTAATTTTGGGCTGATGCAAAAGGGGCTTTCTTCACCCTGGATGCTTGTGACGGGCTGCTACTTTTGGGCCCTGCCGCTGATGGACATGATTCAAGCTGGGACGTGGACCTTCACTGGTCTGGGTGCCTGAATTTTGCTGGGACTTTTGGTTCTACCAAACTGTCTGTGGGCCTTTATTTGCTTGGGAAGCTAGTTTATGTGGTGATGTTTTTATCTTTGACACTGTTGGGCAATTACTGGGCCGCTGGTGCAAAGCTAAATTGGAGGATGGGGCTTCATTGCTTCAGATCCCTTGGGCTTTGAGGACGGCAAGCAGATTTTCTTTGATGTTTTTTATACGAGTCGTGACCTGTCCCGTGCCGTTTTGGACTTTTTTCTATAAAATCTCTCTCCCCACTCACCTTCCTTGGGGGTGGGGGGGGGAGTGAATGGTAGTGACACTATTTAGTTAGATTAGCTAACTCTTTATTTTTTGACACATGTACTTGTTATTTTTGGGTGTGAATAATATAATTATCTTTCATCCAAAAAATAGAGTGAGATTTCACAGATCTTAACTCTTCAGAAGAAAATTGAGAAGAATTGTCTATAGTCGAACTAAATGACTTACTGCTTGAACTTGAACAAGTCTCTTAAAGGTAGTACAAGAGTTAGAGACAACACAATGATATTGTGATTATTCAGAAAATATGTTAAGTCTTGCAACTTCCTTTTGAGCACATTTCAAAATCCAGACTTCCCTCTTCTCTTGACGTTTATTGAGAGCATTTCATTTCGGCTTTTCATAATGTGAGCAAGAGGATGAGCCCGTGGTCCTAGAACATTGTTTGGAAGGAGGCGTTGCAATCCTTTAAAACATGAGAGGAGGTAGAGGGTGTGTTTGTAGTGGGGCCATTTTTGAGAAGAGATATCTCATTTAAAAGTTTTTCTTGTTCTGTTTAAAAAACCTTTCTTTCAGTTTCCAGAGATGTGTGCTACTTCACAATTTTGTGAATGATCTCTGGAATATAAACACTATCAGTTTTAGGATTTTCAGAAACAGAAGATTCATCCCCTGAAGACACATTCTCACTCGCCTGACTAAAGATTGAATCATAGTCGGTAGACAAAGGAATTTCCACTGTTTTAAA